CACTCAACACGATGATAGGAAATCAACAATGGTTTTTATAATGCATATTATTTACTAGTTCCCGCCAAGTTGCTGGGTTTGGTCCTCCTGCCTCAGTCTCCTGAACGAGTGCTGGAACTGCAGGCATGAAGCCATCCCCAAGCTCCCATTCCACCCGAAAGAGACTTGGGGACACCATGGCATGTGAAGAAAGTATAGTCCCCAAAACCACCTTTGCTTCATTCTCGTAACAGTACACTTCTACATTGAAACATGAGATGCTGAGACATACGACATACGAAGCACACTGAATGCAACCTTCAGGTCCTCTGTGACACGTGATGACCAATCTTTGCCTCTGTGCCTTAATAATCTGTTGTTCCCAGGATGGGACTAAGAATTACGCCCTCTGCATTCCCTGAGATTTTGTCACAGATCCTCCCTGCGCTACGGATCCACCCTGCTCTATGCATCTTTGGGGTTTGTGTGTTTGCACATCTTTACCTGAAAGATGGCTGCAGCTGTTCTGTACATGTCTCCATTCCAACTACTCTTCCAATTTATGTGGAAACCAATTTTGAGTTCATCCCCTCCCTCAGGTCTACACATTGTGCCTACTGTACATTTAATGTATTTAGTACAGGGTCTCACTACACAGATCGGACTCATAGTTATCCTTCCTGTTTTTCAGCCCCCCAAGCACTGGGCCCAGTCTCATTTGCAGTCTCAGTGTGCCCCAGGGGCGGGCCCACACGGCAGGCCAGAGATTGAACCCCCAGCCCGAGTCTGCCTAAGCAGCCTACTTTACTTTTCAAATACCTCAATTTCCCCTCTATTTCACGCGGCCCCTGTTTTTACTTCCAAATTCAAGCCTGTAGCTTGTCTGGGTCATCCGGGTTCCTTTGAACCAAGCACCTGTGCTGCTGGTGTTAATTCCTGCATCCCTGGCCCCATCTACTCCAATCTTCCATGTGACCTCTGGAGACCCTGAGATTTGACTTTGCCTTTTTCTCTTCCTGGAGTGCAAGGACTGCAGCTGTCTGTTTGCAAGGGATGGCAGTGGGAAAGCAGAGCATGTCTGGAAACTCAATGACATCATCGTGCTGTGGAGTCAGTCCTAGTTACCTCTGCCTTGTCATAAGACAGTGAGCCCTCCTCTTAGTCACATTCCTCGCTGCTGGGACACAATACCGGACACCCACAATTCAAAGGAGAAAAGGCTTATTTTGGCTCACAGCTTGTAGACATTTCAGCTGGCTCCAAGGCGGGGCAAGCATATGGCAGATGGGGACCAGAGTGACATCAAGGGAGGATGGAGGGAGCTAGACCCTTTCAGCCACACCCCCAGTGACCCTCCCTCTTCTGACCGGATTCTTACTTCCTTATAACAAACCCACTGTAGCCTCCCAATCCAATCACTTTACAGAAGCTTTGCCTTGGAGCACATTAGGCTTGGGGGTGGGGCAGGTAGAGATAAATCATAGCATCCGTCAACAGTTTAAACTGGTCATGGGCAGGCATGCAGGCTGAGGCAGGTGGATCATCCTGAGTTTGAGGACAGCTGGGCTACATAGTGAGTTCAAGGCCAGCCTGAAGTACACAGCAAGACTCAGCGTCAAAAACCAAAAAAACCCTGAATTACTGTTCATTTAGTCACCTGTCTTATCCTGAGCTTTAGACAAATAAGTGAAATATGAGTAGTTTGCAGATCTGAAAGCCAGAAATGACCTTTGCTCCAGTGGAAGTAGTCTGCACTGAGCAATGTGAATGCTGAGTTCAGTGCCTTTTATGTATAAGCATTTGTGCCATGAAATTAAACACAGAGACTTGGCACCCAACAGGACCTATGAGCCAGCGGCCATTCACTCAACATAACCAAGACACGATGACCTTTCAGAGGAAGAAGCAAATATTGAGGATGCAAGGACCAGACAGGGCTTCATGGGTGACAGGACACTCTAGAAACAGGAAGTCACCCAGAAAAAAAGGATATGAATGACAAGGGACTCCAGAGCCAGCATTAATTGACATTAACCATAAGTTGTTTCTTAAATAACTGGGTTGATGCTGGGGCTTGAAGGTATGCTTCTCCCACTCAAAGGGCTTCTGAGTGAATGTTTACAGTAAGACACTGCTATGGCTTTCCCTCCAAATACCCCCTAGTTGCTTTGAATGCTTATCCCCTCATTCTTGGTATTTTCTGAAGTAGGTCTGGATGTCCTTCTCTGTCTTTATGAGGTGCGATATCTAAAGTACAGTATATGGTGCTGCGGAGTGCTATCCAGTGGAAAGGTGGGCTCATAACATTACAGAGCGTGCTTGCCCACCTTACTCACTGGATCTGGCACTGTGCAACTCCTGACTTACCTCAAGTCCAAGTGGCTATGGAACATGTTTTAAATCAATTCAGAGCATTGAGACCACCAGGACAGAACCACTAAAGATACCTGAAAGTATGGAACTGCTTCAGAAAGTGGCAAGAAATGGGTGTGTTCAAAACATGGGAATATTTTGAGAGGGATTCATGACTGTGTCTTTTATAGTAACAACTTTTACTTAAAGCCAAACTGTTTCTTGATCACACCTTGAAAGTTGAAATGAAATTCCAAAACAAGAGTATAAAAGATGGACTACTAGGAGGCAGTTAGGTCTGGCTCTCTTGAACAAATCTCAGGATATGGCTCTCTTGAACAGGATTGGTGCCCTTAGAAGAGACCTCGCAGAGCTCATGCCCTGGTTTCACCGTGTGAGGGCGCAGCAAGAAGGCTCCATCTTTGGAGAGCAATGCACACACCAGGCCCTCTGCTGGTGCCTTGACCTTGGACTTTCCATTCTCTAGAACTGTAATCAATGTCTACTGTTTGGAAATTACACAGGCTACAGTATTTTATTATCACAGTCTAAATAAATGAGGATCATTGACTGAGGTGAAAAAAGACATCATAGGATTTGGCATCCTGATAAAACAATCACATCTCCTTTAATGGAGGACACATTCTGAGACTGTGCCATTAGGTGACTGCAGTCAGGTGACCTCAAGCCTGTGCCAACATCCAAGTATTTCTACAAGCCTCAGTGGAATTAAGGATTTCCTTGGGTAGTAGCTTCCCCCTCATCTTTCTTCTAAAATCTCTTCAATTACCATGACAGCAGGACCTACAGACTCAACACTCACCTTCATATTGTTGAGCAACAGTTCATGAACCACATAAGCCTACGTCAGGCTCCTAGTCTGTTCCAGTTTTTTCTTTTCACATTGCAAATAAATTCTGCTTTAGCCATGATCTTCATGGTGCTGAAGATGTACTTTGGTGTCTGTGCTCCTGAATGGGCCCGCTGTACTGGCTCCCCGACAGCCACACCAATCCCATTTGCATTCTGAAGCCTCTGAAGAACAAAGGCTTAATATTCAGTTATGGCAAATAGGCAATTACACAAAATACAGGATTGGAACCAAAATTTGTTTGCCAAACTCTCAATTATATAATTACAAAATAAAAATCCACATTTCAGGAAAACATCCTTAAACCTAACGTAAGATTCATGTCATTTATCACAAAGTTAGACGGTCAAGTGTATAAAGGAGAAACAAAACAGAAGCAGTATTTACAAGTTCAGACTACATGAGATATTGTGAAGAATCCTTTGTTAATAAACACATTACAGACTTTTATATACTACATTTCAAAAATAAAGCAACTGTAAATAATTGATAAAGGTCATAGTGTGAGGATTTTAACTTGTATTCAAAGTCACCATGTTGAAGACTTTAAATTCAAGGTCATAGTGATGAAAACTTCAATTCAAGGTCTAAATGATAGACTTTCAAGGATGGACTAAGAAAGCACAGGCCACAAGAACTCAAGTTCAGTTTTCTCCGAGTACGAAATATTAGGACTCACAAAATGGATTCGCCAAATGATAAGTTCTGTTCCTTTTCAGTGACTCACAAGAAGTCTTTCTATAGATTTGGTCAGTTTTTCTATTCGTGGGTAGGTATTTCTGCTACATTTTAAGCCCTTATTCAAAACAATTTTCTCCCCATTTCTGTATTTTTAAGTAGAAAATATTTTAATACAAGGAAATGTCTTCTCTAACTAGAGAACAGTTTCTGCACTGACTCCTGGAAGAAGAAGAAAAAAAAAGTTCCTGTTTTCTCCTCTACCTCAAAGCCACAAAGCAAACCAAAATAATCCAACTCCTAGCATAGTGTCACACAGGACCCAGGGCCAGAGACAGTATTACATGCTAGTCCCCTGCTATATGCTGAGCACAGCGTATTTACATTATTAAGCAATCTATTCAACAGGTGAAAGCCGTCCCAGGGCTTCCCTCAGCAGAATCCTAAAACAGGCGTGAGCAGCGGCGCCTGCGGATGGGAACATCGAAGACTCTCCTCTGCCTTTCCTCCTCCTCCTCCTCATCAGATTCATCCATGTCTGCTGAATCATCTTCCTCCTCCTCTTCCTCCTCTTCCTCCTCCATCTCTTCATATCCATCAGGACCCATTTCCTTGAAAGAGAAAACAATCTTTTGATACAAAGAATGTCCATCAAATTTCTATAATAATCTATTGCACATTTTCACTGATCTAGATTACAAACAACCAGACAAGCTGTCTACGAGGTTTTGTGGATCTGAACAGTGCAGTTTCATACTGTGCACACTAATACAAGGGTCTGGAGTGGATATTGTATCACACGTTCAATACGCTCAGTATGGTCCTAACAGTAAACATCATTAGTACTTAAGTTTTTATACAGAATTAGTTCATTCAAGGTAGCAAACAGACTCCACTCCTCCTAAAGGTCTAAGCTGAAGTTTTGCTGATCTTGCCATAGCAATATATTAAATAATTCTCTTAATTATTATTAATCTATATGCTTACTGAAAAGAGGTGAAAATATTAGGTATGGAGGACCTCTACTGGTAACCTTTATGCACTGTCAGTGAGAGGTCTCAAAGATTTTTATTAAACTTCTAATACAAAGACATGTTTTAATTCAAACATCAATAGCCTCTACTTTAAAAAAAATATTTTTATTGTTTCAGTGGCTCAAACAACAGTCACTTATGATCTCTCCTGGTTCTTGTGGGTTGGGTATCTGGGAAGGTCTTAATGGGGCAGTTCTGGCAGGAGGTCTCTCGTGACATTGTTGTCAGGTGGCTGGGACTGGCATCACTTGGAGGTTTCTTCACTCACATCTGGTACCAGGGCTGGGACGATCCACACATCTGCAGACTGAACCGGCTGGGTCTCCTGTGTGCCTTTTTCTTTATGTAGCATCTCTACATAGTTTCTGCAACATGGCGGCTTCATGGTAGCTGGGCTTCTTATATGGCAGGTAGCTCAGAACACCAGAGGCACATTCGAGGAGAGAGCTAGGTTGAAGGCATACTGCCTTTTTCTAACTTAGCCTCAGAAATCAGTGTCATTTAGCCAATTCACTAGTATCACTAATCAGTCCACACTGTAGGAAAACGGTAACCTCTAAATTCACTTGTTGAAAACTTAGAAGAGGAAGTAGTAGTGCGGAACACAAGATATCTGAGGATCTCTTAGAAACTTTAGTTCTGCTTAAGCACTGCCTCTAATTCAGCCTTCCTTTAACTGCTTGCCAATATTCTGTCCCACACAATTAAAGACTCAAATGAGAAGCATTGCTATATTGGACCTAGTTGGTAATCTGAGAAGCACTGGGACACTTGGAGCAGGATGCCAGCAAAAGCCCTTCCACCAAGGCTTTCATGGCACCATGTGACCCAGCACCCCACCATGCCTCTAATCTCATCTCCACTGCTCTCCCCCTCACCTGCTGCACCACAGCTACACCAGCCTCCTGTTTCCAAACCAAGCACACACCTATGTTAAGCTCTGCCTTTGCTACTTCCGCTGAACACTCTCCCCTTCAGGATATCTACCTTGCTCCCTCCGGGTCTTCTGCACATTAATTTACACAGACCATGGCCTTTTCTAACACATCTTTCCAGCAGAACCCAACAGACACTTTCTTCTCCTGTACTTTGATTTTTTTTCCCATAATATTTGTTACTGTTTGGCAAGAGTACATACTGTTTGTTATATTTTGTCTCAAGTAGAACATAAATTCTAAGACAGGGTTTGACTGTATTATTAATATAGCACTCAACATTTGTTGAAGGAACAAATGAATTAATGTAAAAGAAAGAAAACTGTGCCACTTAGCATTTATAACATAATAATAATCAGACTATAGAGGTACAACTTATAACATATTTCGTTATTTGTATCTTTGGACATAAATATATATTTTTAAGTTAAAGAATGAAAGCTTTAAGATTCAGTAAAAAGGTCCAAAAGGTGGGAAGGCAAAGATTTTGGAAATGTTAAAAAATGATGTCCAGCTGTGTGATTATTAATTATGTTAATGAAGAAAACTGTTGGAGGAATCAGTATGTCTAACAGCAGGGTTATAGAGATACAGTTTACATATATTCACAGCAGATGGAAAGAGGAACAAAGGACAAGGATGAAAATAAGTAAGCAGCAAGAGCCTCAAACAAGGCCATCAAACAAGCACAATAAACAATCCCACTAGACCAGGCAAAGGCATGTGACTAAGCAAACAGTGTTTTTTGAAGTGGCAAAGTACAAAGAAAAAGGAAGTATGAAAGCATACTGGTAGAGGACAAAACAGAAGGATTCAATTTCCATATCAAGAACACTAATAAAGAAACAGGCAACAAACTGACAAATACAACCCCCATTGCCTTTTTTATGTTGAAGTCCAGAATTCTCTTTTCTGTTTATTGATTTCTCACCTTTACAGAAGGCATTTTAAGGCAGGTCAAGAAAATGTTTACTTGTGGTCAGGAGAAAACTAAACTCTAATAAATACATAATTAAGAGGCGGTTGAACATATAACAGGGTTTTTCAATTTCAATTTCTAATATGGTAAATACTGACACAGCCCATGTAAACAAGAATTCTTTGGATTCCTCAATAAGTTCTAAACCTCCAAGGGGACCATGAGACTGGAATGCTTGCGATCCACTGTCCTTAACTAAACTCTTTTCCATCTACCCTGGTGTGAAAAACAAGCCTCAAAAGCATCACCCTGACCCAACAGGAGCTCCACTCCCTGCCTAAACAAACCTCAGTATTCTTTAAACTTTAGGACAAGGAATGTTATCAGAGATGAAGAGGCAATGATAAAAGAACGACTTCCTCAAAAAAACAAAACAAAACAACAACAACAAAAAAAATCCTAAACATATTTATAAACAATTATAAAGCTTCCAAATACATGAGGCAAATCTGATGGAACTAAATCCAACAAAGCCACAATTTTGGAAATTTCAACAATCACCTTTTCAGTAGTAGACAGAACAAAGACTGGAAAAAGCATAAATATACAGATGACTTAAAAAACACTGTCTACCAACCAATCACTTTGATCTGTATTTATAGAATAATATTCCCCCAATGGCAGACTATACATTCTTTGTAAACACACAAAGATCATTGATCCAGATACGTAAATTCTTCACATGTTGAATCACAAATCATATAAAAGTACTGAAAAATACAGAGTAAATTCTTTTATCACAATAAAATTAGAAATCAATAGCCAAAAGATAACTGAAAAGTTCTGAAATATTTGGAAATTAATACATTTCTGGAAAAATCATGGACCAAAGTTACAAACGAGGTCTGAGACTATTTTGAACTAAATGTTAACAAAAACACATCAAAATTTGTGAAATACAGCTAAAGCAGTGCTTAGAGGGATGAAAAGTCTAATAGTATCTATCTTATAAAGCTAGAAGAAAAACAAATTAAAACCAAAGTAAGTAGAAGAGAAAGACAACTACAGAAATCAAAGCAATGGAAAATAAACAACAGAGAAAAATCAGTGAAATCCCAAGTTGTTCCTTTAAGTGATCAACAAAAGTGATAATAATCATGTGATGAACAAAGAAGATATGTTACCAATATTAAGAACAAAAAGAGGACATGTGACTATAGCTCTTGTAGCCATTAAAAGGATATCAAGGGAATACTGTAAATAACTTTACGCCAATAAATCAACATTTAGATGAAATGGACAAATTCCTTGAAAGGCACAAATTATCAAAACTGAAACAAGAAGAAATAGAAAACATGAATATTAAAGAAATTAAATTCATATTTAAAATTTTTCCCACAAAGAAAACTCCAGTCCCAGATGGTTTTCTGGATGATTACCAAACACTTGCGCGTAATATGATACCAATCTTATGAAGAAATTGGATTGGTCAAAAACTGAAGTCTGTTATAGAAGTAGTAAATTTCTACAACTGGAAATACAATTCTAACACTCCTCCCTTTGGGAAAAAGAGCTAAAACTTCACTCACAAATCCAGACTGTAAGCTCTTTTCACCATACCACAAGTATAATGGGCTAAAGGCTCATCGCCTTCCTTTCTTCTCTAAACTAGACTTGAAAGCATGTTGTTTCAGTCTAAGATTAATATCATGTCCCAGACTTATTTCAGATCCAACCATTAGGACAACTCCAGGAGTTAAAGAGCATTTTCTGGGCCAAGGAGATAACTCAGTAGAATAGGTGCTTGTGTGGCAAGCACAAGGTCCTGAGTTCAATCCCCGGAAGAGCAAAAAAAAGAGCATTTTCTGAATATTCAACATCTACAGTTACAGTCAGGATATAAATTCATATTTTATTCCTATTACATAACCAGAACTTCATAATTTCCTTTAACTATTTCAGTTGGTAAGACTGGGGTTGTTATAACTGCCAAAAGTAATCTTAAAATGGGGTTTTAAAAATATACCTCATTGACTTGAGAAATGATCTCTTGAAGAGACTGCTATAAAAAGTATAAGCCTACCCATTAAATCCTCTTTGTAATGATCTTTATAGAACATCTGTTTATTTTACTGACTTGGGGAGTTTTAGCAAAAACAGTAGAATACTGTTTTCCTTATCTTAATAAATAAAAAGTAAGCCAATTCTAATGTGTACGTCTCATATTCTAATATATCTAGGCCACTGAACTGGTTGGAAACAGTGCAAAAGTCAAATCTTGAAAACAAAACAAGTAATAGCACAGCTTCTCTAGTTGAAGTATAGAGAGCTTAGCTGACCTGCTGTTCATCTCTCCCACATATTCACTTGGTCCCCAAGATACTGTCTCAGAATATCTATGACTCTCTAGAATTTGTTCATAAACCACTTATCTGCCTAAACAAAGATGCTTTGTAGAGTTAATTTTACAAAGTAACAAAAATCAGCACTAAGGAAAATTTAACTTACCAATCGGGCTATAGACACCCTGAATGTCGGACATGCCATGTGGAATCGAGGAATGGCAACATTAAAGATCTTGTCTTTAAAATAAAGAAAATGAAAGGTGTAATATCCTTCCATATATCCTGATGTTGTAGAGAATGTGGTACAGCTTGTATATTCATATACCCGACCTGGGCTGATGATTGGAAATTCACCTGCAGAGTAACCAGTAACAATAAACCAAAGAATAAAATTCAGCTCATTACAGCAAATAAGATACATTCTCTATAATGTAAAAGTAAATGCAGTTATATAAAAAGAAACTAAAAAAAGATAAAATGTTAACAATGACGGGATTATACACAAACATTTTATACCTCAACATATTTTCTTCCTTTTTTTTTTTTTTTTGTATTTTAGAGAAGGGTCTACAGGGTGTTCAGGGTCTCAATACTAGATTGGACTCAGTGATCCGCCTGTTTCCAGCCTCCCAAGAGCTGGAATTACAGGTGCATGCCACCATGGAAGGCCTAGGGATTGAACCCCACGCACCTGCGCAATCTGCTTAACTATTTGGCTGGTCCTTTAAGTATTTATATAGTTGACTTTTTTTTTTTTTTTTTTGGTACCAAGGATCAAACTCAGGACCTTGTGCTTGCTGGGCAGGCATTTATACTGCTGAGCTATCTCCCCAGCCCTTATTTCCTGATTTCCTAAATTCTTTACAAAGTATTGAATAACACCTAGTAAAACAAAAGATGCCTTATTTTCCAAAGAGCTTTTGGATCTTGAAGATAATCTTTAAGACATGAGTAATAAAAGATCTTCCATAGTAGCATAAGCAGGGACAAGAGTACTCAAACATAAAATTATGAAGATTCATGCTAAGGATTTGGACAGACAAAATTTCAGTCACATAACAGATCTCACCAATGTACCATAAGACAAGTATTAGAACTTTAATAAAATTACTTAGCACGAGATTTTCAAGTACATCTAAGACAAACTCATGAGCTATACATGCAGATTGTTAATCTATGGCAATAAATTAGAAAACTTTAAAGTGAATCATGCAGGTGCTTAGGAATGATAACAAAAGTACACATTATTTTACTGAGGAAACTTAGGGTTTATCATATTTTTTTTAAAAAGTCAATGATGACTGGGTAATGTAAATAAAATTGAAATAATAAAAGTCTGTTATTTTAATTTGAAAATCTTCCCCCAAAATTAAAAAAAATTACTGAATATGAAATTTATTTCTGTCCTCTGCACCTAACCCACAGAATACAATAATAGTTAACCAGTTCAAAACAAAAAAAGAACACAAAAAGATAAACTCCAGGTGGTCCACAGAAAATGATGTCAGTACCTGGATAATAAGAGTTCGTTATTATTTTAGAAAAGTTAACATTTAAGGGACAAAGCTTATAAGCTAACAACCTTTATACTTCCTATTTCTAGATGTGAATTCTAAAATTTCTATGAGGCAACTGCTATGCAAACCTAAACAGTGGGTTACATACCAACGACTCCAGGTCCCTGAACTTCTTCTACATCTCCTTTAGCATTTGTTATTCTCCAGTAGCGACTGTCCAGCTGACAAGCCTTCTCAGGAAGTGCATCCTTTGACATTTCAATCCTGGAGAAAGGAGTGGCATGGTAGAGACACAAATCTGCCCTATGTGTTTTGCTTTCTTTTGTTTTAAGAGCTACAGAACTATGGTTAACAATATAGAAAGAAATTTCCAAAGGAAATTTTTAAAACCCTGCAAAGTCTGTTAGAGATTTATTTTTCTGTTTTCAAAGATACTGCATTAATGAGACACAAAATGCTTTCGCTCAATTTCTGCACTTTCAGTGATGAGTAACAACAGAAGGGCAGCATAAAAGCGTGCAAACGCAATGGAGATGACAATCCTGCTTGGCAAATGTTTTCCAGGACCTAGTGCCTGAAAACCTTCTACAGAACAGTTTTTCATGCATAGCAAAGCTTGTGACACATGGTTTTTTTTCATTAGTTTCTACAAAACTCAAAGCAAAATGACTTGTTACTGGTTTACACTTTATGTTTTCTCATGCTATCATTTCTACTTTTCTCTAGCAATCTGCTGTCTATTTTTACTTTGTGCACTCTCCCCTTGAAGTACATGCAGGTGATTTTATTTTAAGTATGCTTCAATCCTAGGCATATCAAAGGCTATGTACAACACCTAAATCCCATGATGCTTCCTTGGTAAGTATATGTTACTAAAATATTTGTAGGCTATATGCCTATTGTACACATGTGCCGTATTTTAAAATAAATATGTATTTTAAAACAAAATATCCACAATCCCTTGGAGCAATGAGTTGTCTTTATGTCATAGCACAGAACATTTCTAACTGGAGTGAATATAAAGTATTTCTATTTAATCAAATCCAATGCCTCACACCATGTATGACAGACAAGAAGCACTCAAAGAACATTAGATTTTAAATGACTATAGGTGGGTCAGGTGCAATTAAAAATGCACGGCTTCACCTTTGTCAATCTGAGTTTCTAAAGAGCATTACAATACTAGTGCAGATCTCTGATCCACTTCACGATCCACTTCTCAGAGTACTGGCACAGTACGTTCTACCTAGTAAATGCACACCAGTTAAGTAACATAGAGAGATAAACAGAAAGTTAAAAGTCCTGTGCTAACCCGATAATGTAGCAGATACATTTTCCTCCAAACTTCAGCAAGAACTTATCTTTTAAAATGCATTTTACTCAGTGGTCACAGTGCTTGTCTGCATGTCTAAGGCCCTGGGTTTGATGCCTATTACTGAAAGAAAACAAAAAATGGAAACAAAACCAAAAACCTCCAAATGCATTTTATATATGCTGACTGGGACAGCAGCAACACAGTTGCAGGATCTATCACACTATTAATGCAAAGGCAACCAAATTTGAAGTTCTCACCTGATTCGGTATGTGAAGAAATAGTGGGGTGGGTGCACAGAGCTGAGTTCTGGCAGAAACGATGTGGAAACAGAAACTGTAATATCCCCAGTGGTGGCTACACACTCTGGGTCATGAACATACCTAGGAAATTTTAAAAATTAAATATTTTAAAGTCCAGTACTTTCAATTCCATAAGACTCAAGGTTAAAGACACAACACACAATAGTTTACTTATACTTTATTAAGATCAAAAATATAAATCATACTTGGGCACAGTCCTATTATATTTAAAAGGAAATCAGAAATAGAAAACACTGACTGAGTAATGACAATCAAGGATGAATGAAAGTGGTTCCAATAATGCATCGGTAGTTTTTAAAAAGGGGTTATCTTAGTTTTCAAAGCTAAGAAAATTTTAAGGTCATCTGAAAACTCAGCTACATCTGCTAAATGGTGGCTACGATAATAAAAACATGCAAAAATATGGAAGTATATTCAGTCTCATGTACTCTTTTAACATAGAAGCTGATGATCTACAGAGCTAACATAGTATCTAACATAGTTATTCTATCATTTCTGCTACAAAGGTTACTTTAACACACCTCTAATACTAATTACAACATCTGAATGTTTCATTTAAAGATATTATATAGTATTTGGCAGGAGGTAATAGTTCCTAACTTGTTATTCACACTATTATATTAATTCCCCAACAGCTTTAATTTTTTTCAAAGAGAAACTAACAACTACTAACAAATCATAGCTTGTAAATTTAAAAAACGGCAATTGTTCAAGGTAAGAAAAGTACTCATTAGGTGTTTGAATGTTTTATTTTTTGCACGGAGAATAAAAGAGACTGAAGTTAATGAGAGGTTCTGTTATTAACCTTGGAAACTTCATTTCATGATCTGTGATGGATTTTTTTTCTGATTTATAATCATTTCAATCCAAAAAATCCCCACATGAAATACCTGAAAATTTGGTCTCTGATGATGGGGAAGCCACCTGATACAACATTGCTGACATAAGAGGTAAACCAGTCAGTAAAAGTAGCACCTGTGAACCAGGAAGTGAGAAAAAGAAGAGATTTTTATAAAATCTACATAGGAAATAAAGAAACGATTATTTCTTTAAGCTTAAGATGTAGTACCCAAACTGGAAACATTTA